TAATAATATATTTCTAGCAATGTGCTAGGTATTGTGTCGCACCCTTTGTAAATTTTTAAAACACTTAACCCTTACATAAGTCTGCAAAGTAGAGATTTTTAAGCCTTTATTTTTTTTTTTTACAAATGAGCACACTGAGGTTCAGAGATTGCATACCTTGCTCAAGGTCACACAACTAGAAACTAGCAGAGGCGGGAAGGCTGCGTCACAAGGGGACGAGACTGGAGGACAAGGAAAGCTGGGATGAGGCTATACTGATCAAGGTGTGAGATAAATAGCAGACTTCACAAGGGCCATGACCTTGGAACTGAAGCCCAAAGCCCATGTCCTTTCTATACTCTCCTGACACCTAACAGGGCCTGGCCCCAGCAGCATGATCGGAGGCTGTTGAACTGAATGATGAACAATGAGTCACACTAGAGAAAATCATGTGTGACCCACAGTCTGCTGTGAAGAGTGGAAGACGGAGGAGCTGGACGAGGCCTTCCAGGGGATGCTCCTTAGAGGCCACGGGGTCAGGGAGGGGGGGCATCAGGGTCAAGGCCTATCTGTCTCCTGACCTCTGCGGGCTTGTCTCCAGGTCCGCTTCGTGAACAGCACATGGGTGTTCGGGAAAGGCATGTGCCATGTCAGCCGCTTCGCCCAGTACTGCTCCCTGCACGTCTCTGTCCTGACGCTGACAGCCATTGCCGTGAACCGCCACCAGGTGAGGGCACCTGCCCCCAGCATCCCATCCTCCCCTCTCTGCCTTTGTTTCCCAGAGGGGATGTGAGACCCTTAAATAGTACTTTAGCCCCTTTTTCAATGAATGCATTTGTCTTATTGAGTAGTATGAACGCTTAGACTAGGTAGATTAATCCCTTTATACTAGGTGCTGTGGAAAGTTATTCCCCGTTTGTTGTTCCAGTGAAGACTCATTGCTAGTATTTTGTGCCTTAGAAATTAATGAATTTGCTTTACAGGCAGAAAAGCAAACCTGGGAGATCACAGATGGAAAGAGAATGACAAATAATTATAGGTTGGAGATAAGGCTCCTGGCAGGGAAATGGACATTTGCTAGCCCAAGCTGTTGATGAGGAAAACAAACTAGGGTGTCCAGGTGGCCAGAGCAGGCATTGGACAGGAAGGTCCTGTTCGCTGTCCTGCTTCAGCAGACACACATGGGTGGATGTGGTGAGGGGAACTGAAGAGGATCTGGGTGTCCATCCTGGAGGAGGATGGTTCCGTGGCAGGCGTCTTACACTAACTCAGTGAACCCATGTTGTATACTTGGGTCTTTGCTGAATCAAGGAATAGAGGCTCAGAAAGTGCTTACATAACGTTTCCAAGATCATATGCCTGGCGAATAATGAAGCTGGGATTAGACTGAGGTCTCTCTGGCTCCAAGCGCATTCTCTGATCATCATCCACCCTGCTCTAGAAGACTCAAGGCCACCTGCAAGGCCAATGTCATAGGGCCACCAGGACAAAGAGAGGTAGAACTGATGCTGAGTAGCCCCGAGAGGTGCCACAGGACTAAGAGGCTTCAAGATGCAGATGCAAAGATGCAGCTTTATATGAGGAAGAAGTGGCTAATGGAAGATTTCGAAGAACACACAGCTGCCTGGGGAGGTATGAGTTTCATGTACCAGCCATATTTAAGCAAAATCTGTTAGGGATGTTCAGAGGAGATTCATGCATCTGATAGGGAATTGAGATCTCTTTATCCCTGCGATGCCATCATTTTGACATTTATGTTGCAGCTGCTTTGGTGCAAAGTGTGAAAAGGTTGCACACAAATGTTTCCTGCCTTTTCTTAACCTTCTCCCCTAGTGCAACAAGGACTCTGGATTACCTTTGCCCGGCTTATACTTATCCCATTTAACACAGCTACCTGAGAGTTGCCCCTTGGGTAAAGGTGGGTTTGAGGAACAGGGTGGGAGTCTTGCCCACATTGACCACGTTGCTGTGACATATACCCAGACAGGGGGCCCTGTCCCAAAGCCAGCGGAGTCTTTAAGCAGTGTCTGGGGCCTCGGGCCTAGGCTTTCAGTCCCTTCAGCAACCTGAACAACCGAGTGTGAGGGGCAGAGGTGGCAAAGTCCAGAGTGGAGATGTGCTGGCACTGTCTAAAGCCTAGGCACTGTCTCCTGTAAAACCTTGGGAGAAAAATTTGGGAGGACACAGCCAGAATGCCCAGCGTGTCTTGGGATGGGCTGCTGAGGTGGTGGCAGCTCTTTACGACCTATCCCCTGGATCCTGGACTCACCTACCCCAAACTGCCTTTTTCAAGACATAATGATTCTAATCTTAAAATGAGGATGCTGCTAAATACCCAAGTGTTTATTTAAACCTTTTAGGAGAATCAGTTGGCATACAGTAGCAATTTCAAGATGCTTTTCAGCCTGAAACCTATAATACTGGTTTTATTATAGGCCTGAGAAAGACATTTAGTAATGACTTCTATAAAGAGTGCTATGAACCCCCAAATCAATGTCAGTACAGCTTCCCATGATAGGTGGTGGGAGTCTCCTCTCCACAACTGTCACCCTCAGAGTCCTTTGTAGGCCAGCGGGCTTGGAATCATGAGGCGATGAGGTCAGATCCTGAGGTGGAGGCTGGCCCTGGCTTGTTCCTCTGCCAGCCTTGCTGTGGGGCTGTGGGTGTCCTGAACGCAGACCCGTCTTTCACCCTCCCCATGTTCTCACTGCACCCTGGTCCTGCCACAGACGACTTTCATTACTGCCTGGAGACTCTGAGTCCAGGTGACACCCTCTTCCTAGCCCTGGAGGTGGGCTGTGGGTTGGTGTAGCTCAGGGGCTCAATAATGAATCAGAGGGTGCTTTACTTTATAAATAGGAGCTACCTGCTTTATTGTGACGAGTGAGCCATGTCATTCAGATTTCTCATTTGTTTCAAAACTTCTTCAGCCAGTGATGCAGTTTGCTTGTTTTCCAGGTCATTATGCATCCATTGAAACCCCGGATCTCCATCACAAAAGGTGTCATCTACATTGCAGTCATCTGGACCATGGCTACCTTCTTTTCACTCCCACATGCTATCTGCCAGAAATTATTTACCTTCAAGTACAGGTGAGATTAACCAGTAGGGAGCAGCCTAGGGACTCAGAGGACTTTGACACAGGGGAGTTACCAGTACCGGCCACCCAGAGGGAGCCAGAGCCATTCTCTCTGCCTCTCTCACATCCTGTTGTTTCCAGACCTGTGCCTATCCTCTTCTTTTCTTTTCTTTTCTTTTCTTTTCTTTTCTTTTCTTTTCTTTTCTTTTCTTTCTTTTCTTTCCTTTCCTTTCCTTTTCTTTTCTTTTCTTTTCTTTTCTTTTCTTTTCTTTTCCTCCCCTCCCCTCTCCTCCCCTCCCCTCTCCTCCCCTCTTCTCTCCTCTCCTTTCCTCTCTCTCTCTCCCTCTCCCTCTCCCTCTCCCTCTCTCCCTCTCTCCCTCTCTCCCTCTCTCTTTCTCTTCTTTATTTCTTCTCATCTTTCCTTCAGTTTCCTCCTTAGGCTCTGTGCAGTTTACAAGGCCAAGGCAATATTGATTAGCATCTGTCCCTGGGAGCATGTACTCTCAGAGACTGAGCTTTACTAGTCAATCACCCAGGCCGTGTTTAAATGGTGTTGTTTAAATGCTCTTGCACAAACTACAAACAAAACATGTATGTGTCTGAGGCAGGGTGCCCATTCAGGTTTCTTTGCCATATGCTCTCACGGAATGAGAATTCCTTTCAAAGCACTCAGTGTTTAAAATGTAAGCACTTGACTGTGCTACTAGTTTATAAAGGCGATTGCCCCCACTAGATTGTAAAGTTGGGGAGAGCTGGCCCCATTTTTTATTTTGCTTCCTTGGTCTCCCTAGCACCTAACTTACTGTTTCCACATAACAAGCCCTCAACAGCTATTTACTGAATGAGTGAATGAATGAATGGGCTTGGAGTGATTTTTGTCAGTTCATAATTGTTTTACATGAGGTTCCTCAGAAACAGACCCCGTTAGGCAGGGCAGCAAATGGGAGAGCTTGGGGAAGGGTGGGATTTGAGGGGAAGCTATAGCCTGCTCCACAGGGAGTTCTGGTAACACAGAGTTTGCCAGCCTTGAGGCAACTGGAGCCGGGTTTTCTTATTCTAGGCTTCCCTTGGGAAAACAGGAGCTCCTAGCCACATCTGGATCTTAACGGATCTGTAGGGAGTGTCTTCAGCAGTCCTGGGTAGGCCTAGGTACCTAGGAAGGTCACAGGTGCCAGCTACTTCTTAGGGGGCAGCCAGGAGCTGGGGGTCTGGCACTCTGGACAGGTAAAGGGGATCTAAGAGGATCCAGGGGGTGCGGTGCTGGCATGTCCTAGAGTAGCCATGTGCTGCCCCAGGTGCTGTCACCTCCAGTGCCATAAGCAGGGTCAAGAGAGCAAACTCTGAAGGCCGATCTCAACCAACTTCAAAGGCTCCCTCCCGAATGCTAGGCTATTAGAGTGAGTCACATGCCCAGACCCCCTGCACTCAGACTCCCCATCTGCCTTCACACATGGAGGGCTGTTTTTTGTTTTGTTTTTTTCTTCTTCTAACAAAAGCAAAGAGAGTTCTCTCTTTCACTATGATGCCCACCAGCATATATAACAAGAGCAACAAGCCACAAGGTGTGATGATAAAATAGCCATTTTGAGTTGCTGCCTAGATGTTTTACAATCTGACAACCCTGCTTGCACTGAGTCTGGACATTTAGATAAGGACCCGAGCTTAGGATCCCACCACAGTTCCTGCCTTGCTTTTCCCAGGGCACCTTTTTATTTATTTTTATATTTTATTTTTAAAAATTTATCTTTATTGTTGAAAGTATTACAGATGTCCCATTTTTCCCCCCATCAACTTCCTCCATCCCTCACCCTCCAGGCCTTCATCCCACTCTTGTCTGTATTCATGGGTTATGCATATCTCTATATATAAAAGCCTAATATGCAAATTGTCCCCTTGGGAGTTCGTCCGGGAGACCAGGAGTTCGATCACTCACTATGACGTGTGCTGACTACCAGGGGGTGGTGTGGAACAAAGGAAGGCCCCGGCTGGCAGCTGGCAGCCAGGGAAGGAAGGCCCCAGCAGGCAACTGGAAGGCCCTGATCCACCCTGATTGCCGACCAAGCCTAGGGACCCTACCTGTGCACGAATTTTGTACACCAGGCCTCTAGTATGCATATAAGTTCTTTGGTTAATCTCTTCCTGCCCCCTCTTTCCTTCCCCTACTCCCATCTGTCAACCAACAAAAAGTTCTCTGTATCTATGAGTCTTTTTGTGTTCTGCTTGTTCATTTTGTTTGTAGATTAAATTGTTGATAGAATATAGTTATTGCCATTTTATTGTTCATATTTTTTATCTTCTTCTTTGAGAAGACCCTACAACATTTCATATAATACTGGTTTGGTGGTGATGAACTTCTTTAGCTTTTTCTTGTCTGGTAAGCTCTATATACCCATCTAATCTAAATGATAGCTTTGCAGGATAGAGTAATCTTGGTTGTAGATACTTGCTTTTCATCAGTTTGAATATTTCTTGCCATTCCTTTCTGGCCTGCAAAGTTTCTTTTGAGAAATCAACTGACAGTCTTATGGGAGCTCCCTTATGGGTAACTAACTGCTTTTCTCTTGCTGCTTTTAATATTTTCCTTTAACTTTTTGCATTTTAATTATGTGTCTTGATGTGGGCCTCTTTCGGCTCATCTTGTTTGGGACTCTCTGTGCTTCCTGGACTTGTATGTCTGTTTCCTTCACAAAGTTAGGGAAGTTTTCTGTCATTATTTTTTCAAATAGGTTTACAATTTCTTGCTCTGTCTCTTCTCCTTTCAGCACCCTGTCTCAGGGGATCCTTACACTATCATCATTTTTTATTTTTTTTATTCTTTTTTTCTTTTTGCTGTTCTGATTGGGTGTTTTTTACTTCCTCATATTCCAAATTGATGGTTTGATTCTTGATTTCCCTTACTCTAGTGTAGATTCCTTTTAAGTTATTCTTTATTTTAGTTAGTGCATTCTGCTTAGTTCTTTTTTTATGCTGCTAAAGTCCTCACTAAGTTTGTTGAGCATTCTTATAACCATGCTTATCTAGCGATTGCTTCTCTCCATTTTGTTTAGTTCTTTTTCTAATGGAGTTTTGTTCCACTCTTACAGTGGGAACATGTTTCTTTGTCTCCTCATTTGGGCCATTTCTCTGTGTTTGTTTCCATGTATTAGGTTGAGCTGCTATGTCTGCTAGGCTTGGTAGTATGGCCTAATGTAGTAGGTGTCTTGTAGGGTCCAGTGGCACAGCCTCCCTGCTCACCCCAGCTGGGCACTTGAAGTATACCCCCTCCCCCCATGTGGGCTGTAACCCTTCTGTTGTAATTGAGTCTTGATTGCTGTTGGCATGTCAATGGGAGGGAATTACTCAGGCTGATGAGCTGCAAGGACTGGCTGTGACCACTGACCTCCAACCACCTTGGAGGATCAGCTGTGCAGGGGCACACCACATAGAGCAAGACTTACTTCAGTGGGGCTCTGCTATTCACTGAGTCCACCCCTTGAGTGTGTCACTTCTGAAGGTGGTTAGGTGATGGTGCTTTGATGTGGTCTGAAGCTGTTCACTGGGTGTGCTGGATCTGGGGCCTCCTGGGAGGTATAGGTCAAGGTCAGCCACTGCCTGTGTTCTGCCTGAGGCCACTAGGCATAAGCTATAAAACAATCTGTAGATGGCTGCTTCTTGTGCTGGGCTTGGAGGTGCCCAGGCAAGGCCAAGCTGCTGCTAGAGCCAGGCATGGGGCCATTTAGTGAGAGGTATGGGACTTGCTGAGGCCAGATGCTGCTTGTTTGAGAGATTTTAGGAAATCCTTCCTCCAGCTCATTGCACCTCTGTTCTGAAATTTGTAAGCAATAAATCTTGTGACTTGACTTCCTTTGTGTGACTATATTGAAATAGTGCCTTCAAAATGGCCCTATGGTTTTTACTTCCCCAAAGTGGGAGCTTGGATACCTAGATAGCTGTCTGCTGCCCCCATGTGAGTGGCTTATTTCTCCTTATTCAGCAGGTCATCATCTTTAACACAGTAGCTCTGGATTTTTCAATACACATGGATATCCCTGAAAAGTTTGAAGACTGGGTATATTACATAGAAAATAACTATGTTATTCTGGGATTGCCACTCATAGTATCAAGACTCATCATGTCTTTGGCCCATTTCTTAGTTCCCTTCTGGAATGGCAATAGGTAGTATAATGGGGAATTCTTGAATACACTGTGCTCCCAGGATGAGTTAGGTCTAAGATGAGGAACACCAGTGTTGCATTCATTCATTGAACAGATATTTATTGGGTCTCTATTATGAGCTAGGGAAAATGCAAAGTTAAGAGGACACAGAGAGATCCAGGTATATTCCTTATCTTTATAGAACTCCCAGCCTAGTGGGAAAGTCAGAAATGTAATCAGATAATTAGGCTGGAGCATTAAAAGTGCTATAACAGATGGATGTACCAGCAGGCTAGTGCTTCTTGGGCCGAGGCCTTTCTAGACTAATTGCACACTTTCCTTCTCTCTGTCTCCCTGTGTCTCTGTGTCTCTCTCTCTCCCCTTGCCCCCAGTGAGGACATTGTTCGCTCCCTATGCCTGCCAGACTTTCCTGAGCCAGCTGACCTCTTCTGGAAGTACCTGGACTTGGCCACCTTCATCCTGCTTTACATCCTACCCCTCCTCATCATCTCTGTAGCCTATGCCCGTGTCGCCAAGAAGCTGTGGTTGGGCAACACAATCGGTGATGTGACCACGGAGCAGTACCTGGCCCTGCGGCGCAAGAAGAAGAAGACCATCAAGATGCTGATGCTGGTGGTGGTCCTCTTTGCCCTCTGCTGGTTCCCCCTGAACTGCTATGTCCTCCTCCTGTCCAGCAAGGTCATCCATACCAACAATGCCCTCTACTTCGCCTTCCATTGGTTTGCCATGAGCAGCACCTGCTACAACCCCTTCATCTACTGCTGGCTTAACGAGAACTTCAGGGTGGAGCTGAAGGCATTACTAAGCATGTGCCAGAGGCCACCCAAGCCTCAGGAGGAGAGGCCACCCTCTCCAGTCCCTTCCTTCAGGATGGCTTGGACAGAGAAAGGCAAGGGGCGGAGGGCTACACTAGCCAACAACCTCCTGCCCTCCCCGCAACTCCAGTCTGGGAAGACAGACCTATTGTCTGTGGAGCCCATTGTGGCGATGAGTTAGAGGAGGGTGAGAAGAGGCAGAGGGGAGGGCTCTGTCTACAGCTGAGATTGGGAGAGAGCCTGAGGACAGAGCCTGGAAAAGAGCCTGTCCTCTCATACATGACCTTCACCATGCTGGAAACAAGTTCCTACAGAAGCCGTAGGACTCTTGACTTCCTAGGAAACTGCTTAGCTTCCTGGCCACATTTGATGTGAAGACTAAAAGGCACCTACCAACTAGACATATGTTTGTGAATTTCTGTCTAAGAAATGCTATGAGGAATATCACCCTGGTTCCTGAGCCAGAGAACAAGACAACTTCAGCCCAGATGGAGGCTCAGTGAGTCAACTGCCTCCAACTGTCAGGCAGCTGCCTTACCTCCCTCCCTGCCACTGAGCATCCTTAAGGACACCTGAGTCATATTTGGGTGTGGCTTACCCAGATGCACAGAGCTGTGCTTGAAGAAACTCATTGCATAGTGCAAGGTTAGCGAACCAGAGTTGGCACGGATGTTTTCACGCCTCACTTTCTGAAGTCATAGGACCAGGATGGATCACAATTTTGTGGTAGCCTGGCCTGATATTTGATAAGAAGGGAACAATTTGGTTGCTTAAAACAACAACAAAAATTACTATTAAAACTTTGGAAAATTCAGAAAAGCACAAAGAAGAAAATAAAAATCACCCCCTTCTCCCTACGTGTGATAAACTGTTAGCTGTGGATTTATTTGCAACTTTTTCTTTTGTGCCTGTGTGTGATTCATTTCATGATGAACTGCACTTTTCCATGCACAGATAAGCAAGAAACGGGCGCAGAAGAGAACTCTTGAGCCTCTCTCCCAGGAATAGTGTCCACCACTAACAGAAGAGTTGGAAGACGAGGTGGGAGAGGAGCTCCAGGAGAAGACTGTCACAGAGCAGACAGACTGCCTTCCTCTTGTAGTCAGTGGTGAGGGGGGCCTGGCTGAAGTAACTCTTTTCAGATGGTGGCCATTGTGATGAGCTGGGAACAAAGCTCATCCAAGAGCCACAATTCCTTCTCTCCTGGAATCACACAGAATGGGAGGCGGAAAGCCTTGCCCTGCTTTCACAGGAGATGAGGGAGCAGACTTTCCAACATGCTGGAAATCATTGTTAGACACCTCACACACCCCCTCCCCCCCAATCTATCTAGAGAGGCCATTTCTCTGTGTTGCCTAAATAATAAGGCTTCTTTATTTTCTTCATTGTCAGCAGTTTATGCATCACTTACAGAAACCTGTGCCATCGTTGTGATGGTCCTTCAGGACTCAAAGTGCCAGAGAAACCTCATTCCAGAGACTGAGTGTTTCATCACCTTCTATCTAAAAGACGCCTCAGGCAGAAAAGAGCTTCATTCACCAGCCTGACATCTGGGTTCTGGGTTGCCACTCTCACCGGTTTTAGCTTTCTTCTAGCACCAGACAGATCCAGAAAGCAAAGCATGGTTATGGAGCAGAGTGGGAAACTCAGGTTTGGGGAGAAGGGGTTTCTCCAAGGTTCACTTAGATTGCGTGGCTGTTAATGGAAACTGAACTTGGTCCTATCACTTGCTTCCCTATAATGAACCATGGGAGTTTGTTTTACTATTCTATTTATGAGGAATTTTGAAACTTTTCAGGATGTAAAGTTTTGAAAAAAATCATCTTTTGAACAGTGGGTAAGAAAGTGACTTTCATGGAGCAGAGAGAGCTGTCTGAATCCATAGGGATCCCCAGGTGGGTTTTTCTGGCCAAATGGCTCCCATGTCTGTTGGGGTCCAGCCCCAGCAGGTCCAGGGGTTCCCAAAGGTGTGGACAGAGAAGAAGGAATGGCACGGAGACAGCGTTCAGTTGATCAGCAGCCTAGCCAGCTTCTCTAGCCAGGTTCTAGCCAGGTTCTCCCGCCAGGTTCTCTAGCTAGGTTCTCTCTTTATTCTCCTGTTACATCTGTATTTATACCATTTGATTTTAATCCTATCCATTCTATTCCAAAGGTTAGGGCATTTGTTATCTCCATTCCAAGGTCACTACTCTACTGTTCTGTTAAGCTACAAGGAAGTAACTGAAGGAGATTATCCTAAGTAAAGATTATGTAGCTTAAGCATGATTGTTCGTAGTTAAGGTGATTAACTACCCACCTGGCACTTAGTCCTGTTAATCCCTAACTCCAGGGAAAAATTCCCACCTGGGGAAACAAACTTTCTTGGAGAGGTGACCCTGGTTAAAACACATAGCGCTAAGAAGGGGAGCAAACATATTAAGAACACTATGCCATATACGCCAGGTCCCTTGAAACATATGCTGTGCAGATGTTTCTTCCCTGCAGCGACTGTGTCAGGCAGCAAGCATGTCTGTGCCTGTTGTCTCTGTAGCATCGAGAAGTAGCTTAGTGTTGCCATAGAAATTCTATGAACCAGAGAGAGAATGGGCAGCAGGGCCACTGTGTCCCTGAACTTTGCCTCTCTCTCTCCCAGAGCTTCTAGAAATACGGTCGAGTCACAGAGAAGCTCTTTTTGGGGGAAGGACTCACTGTTGGCCCATTAGGTCTGTGTCTCCCGCCTGTACCTTGTCTGTCCCCCTCCCTATGTTCCCTACGTGCCTCAGAGCAAAAAGTGAATTATATTGTGAATGTGAAATTTGTAAAACTTGAGTCTTTTTAATGTGCTATAATGTGTATTTTAGTGTACATTGCTCTATTCTCAATAAAATAATTTTGGGTGTGTGGACTGTGCTTCTCGGATTTGTGCTTAGGCCACAGTGAGTAACCTTTAAAATGGGGATCCATGTGGATTAGGTGAAGAGTGTGTGGAGATCACCTGCCACACCCCTGTGCCTAACAGCCGAGGAAGTGCAGACTCTGAGGTGGTGAATAGCCAGTTGAAAACCTCTGACTTCTTCCACTGAGCTGGCTGTCAAGTTCCCTCTCTGTGATTATGAATCTGTGCTGTGTGTTTTTAACTTGGGGCTCCATCTGTTCCTTGGTGATTCAGGAGGAGATGAAGCTGCCACTCAAGACCTGAGAGCGGGACTCCCACTTATAGTGTGTCGTGGGTACTGTATTCCTACCAGGTGAGCTGGATAGGAGCTCTCAGTGCACACATAATTACCCCGATGTCATCCAGAGCCCAGGAAATCGGTTTCAAATAATTTCACAGGCACAGCCAAAATGGCTCAGTGGTTGAGCATCAACCTAAGAACCAGGAGGTCATGGTTCAATTTTCAGTCAGGGTGCATGTGGGCTCGATCCCCAGTGGGGGGCGTGCAGGAGGCAGCCAACCAATGATTCTCCTTCATCATTGATGTTTCTATCTCTCCCTTTCCCTTCCTCTCTGAAATCAATAAAAAATATTTTTTAAAAAACAAGTAATTTCACAGAAGGTTGTACATAGGGTCATTTACTGAGCCTAAGAGAAATTTTGAAAGACAAATGAAAGGCAGAGAAGGAGAAGGGAACTAAGATTTGCCAACACCTGCTATGTGAGATGCAGTACTGAATCTTTGTGAGCTCATGATCTCACTCGCCTTTATTGCAGTTCTCCAGGATGGGCATTGTTATTTCTACATTGCAGATGAGGCTCAGCTAAGAATCATACAGAGGAATTGGGGAAACTCTACCTTCTTGGAGATTAGGTTCTGAGAAAAGAATCTTAATATGTTTTGAATCCACTATTTTACCAATTTCCTTGATTTTGAGACACTTTTTGGGTAACACCTGTTCACTGTCCTAAAAAAATCGGTGCTTGAGTTACATGCTTTGGGAAATGCTTGACTAGGTGGGTCCCGAGTGCCTTTGCAGCTCTGGGGTCAATGAGACCTTGGTTCTAGTATGGGCAGGACCTCATGCTGCTTTGTGAGCTCAGTTCTGGGGAGAAGGACTTCCAACAAGCCCTAAGCGATGCCCAGATGCTGGGGCCCTGCTTGACTGCCCATGGCAGGTTGCCAAGGCAAACAAAACAGCAGTCTCAGCCAGCCAGGCCTCGGGGTCCTCAGGTAGCACAGGTAGAAAGCGAAACCCTCAGTGCTTCAGACTAGCTGTGACCTCTGAGCTGCTGCAAGCTATAGGCTCTAGGGTAATGGGAGAAGGGCCAGTGCGTGCAAGGGGGAAAACCGGGAACACTAGGTCTTGAGCATCATGTCTGTCTTAGAGCGTCGCTTAAAGATGGTAGAAGATGCTTCTACTGTGGGATTAGGTTGTCAACACCTTGCTTTGGCATCTCTGTGGACCTGTCTCCCCAACCCTGCCCCACCGTTCTCTCTCATTTCAAGGAGGGGTGAGGGAAGGAACCAATGCTGGATGCATTTGGAAACAACAAACCAAACCACAGTGGTGTTTAACGTGAGAAAGCCCTGGGGTTCAGTCTTCTTTCCGAGGTTTTGTAGCCTCTCTTGCTGAGAACAAGCTATCTGCTGTTTCATGGAGGCAAAGTGCTTGATGGTAACAGAATCCTATCCAGGATACAACATTACATGTAGCCATGGTGTCTTCTCAGGCTCCTCTAGACCCAACCGGACCTGTTCACAGTGTCCCCAGGCCCAGGCTCCTTGCTTAGGTTTAAGATGGAGGATATAGAACCTTACACCCTCCATCTATGTGGAGGAAGAAGTATAAATAGGCAACAGCTCTCTTCAAATAATTTTTTCCATACATTTCTCTCCTCCAAGTCCAAGCCCTTTCTATATCCTTCATTTAGCTGAGGATTCAAGAAAAGAAGGTATGGTTTGGGGTCCATTTTACATTCTCTGTGGTGTTCACCTTCTATCTAGCCAATGAATTAGCCTCTCAGTGAAACTGAAACCAGAAGAGTCCAACCCTGCCATCTTACGTAACATTCCTAGACTCTGGGGAGCTGAGGCTTCCATCCTTGACAGAGTACAGGTAGTCAACCCAGGCACGGTCACGTCAAAGGAAGAGCTGCCTAGCTGCGCTTCAGAAAGCAATTTTGTCAGCCAGGGGCTTTCTTTTCCTCTGGGGGAAGCTGGAATCTCTACTCTTTCTTACTATGTGAAGTTGTGCGGAGGTGCTTTTTCTCACCTACATTTTTGTTTTATTAAAGTTCCTTACCTCTGTCAGATCCTAAGGGCATTTGTTAGGCTATCACTCTGGGACTTCTCATTCCTTCTTGTAGATCCAATATATAGCTTATCCTGCAGTCGTAATAAATCAGTACTTCATTCTAGTAGATATTTTTTGGCAGATTCTTTAGGATTTTCAATGCACATATCATGTCATCTGCAAATAAATACAAATTTTCTTCTTTCTAATATATATGACTTACATATCTTTTCCTTGTCTTATTGTACTAACTGGATTTTCCTGTACAAAAGTGAAGAGAAGTGGTGAGCATGGACTTTAGAGGTTGTGTTATTTAGTTGTAAAATTCTCTATTGGTTTCAGAGTTTGGGCATTCTAATAAGTGCATAGTGGTAACTTGACTGAATTTGCATTTTTGTGGTGACAAATGTTGTGGAGCACCTTTTCATGTACCTATTTGCCATCTGTGTATCTTCTTTGGTGAGGTGTTTGTTAAAGTCTTTGGCCCATTTTTAAATCAGGTTGTTTGTTTTCTTAGTGTTGAGTTTTAGGAGTTCTTTCTAATAGTCCTTCATTAAGGTGTGTCTTTGACAAATATTTTCTCCCATTTTGTGGTTTATCTTTTCATTCTCTGGACATTATCTTTCACAGAGCAAAAGTTGTAAATAATTTTGTCCCATTTTTGTAATTTTTATCTTTAAGAGCAATTGCCTGAACTTTCTTTGCCACATCCCTCCTTCCCCTAATTAGTTATTATAATATCTATTTCTTTATTGAGATTATCAACCTGTTTGTTCATTATAAGCATGTTTTCCTGTAAAATATTTGAATAGTTATATTAGTAGCTGCTTTAAAATTCCTTATATGCCTATTTGCAACATCTAGGTCATTTTAGAATTGGTTTCTATTGCTTTATTTTTCTCTAGAGTATGGGTCATATTTTTCAGTTTCTTTGCCTGTCTAGTGATTTTTCCATTGATTATGTACTGGATATTATGATGGTATTTTGAAGAGACTCTGGATTTTATGTTTCTCTGTCATCAGAGAAAGGTTTTTCTTTGTTTTGGCCTAGGAGTCAGTTAACCTTGATATCCCTGTGGTGGGCAGCTGAAATCTCTTGATTTCCCCAACTTCACTTGCTATTCATTAGCTGGGCCCTCTGGGGCCTTCAGAGCACATGGATAGTTCAGTGGTCGGG